ATATATTATTATTATTGTTGTGCAACATCTAATACAGGCACTCCTCGACTTACCAGTACAATTGATCCCAAAATGCCTGTAATTAAGTGAGACATTTGTTAAGTGAGTTTTGCCCCGCTTTACGACCTTTCTTGCCGCCGTTGTTAAGCGAATCACTGCAGCGGATAAGCTAGTCCCCCGGTTGTTAAGCGAATCGGGCTCCCGTGTTTCCCGTGTGGCAAATTCAGCTGATCTCCCTTACCCGATGCAGACGATCACGGTGGCACTTTCCTGGGCAAAGAACTGGCACAGCTTTTTGTGACTTTCTGGAAAACCACAAAGAGAATAAGAGAGAACAGAGCAGAGCCGGAAGGGACCTTGGAGGTCTTCTAGTCCAGCCCCTCCTGCTCAGGCAAGAGTTGATCTTCAGACGAAAAAGTCCCACTTCTCCCAGCCCTAACTTGTAGGTTTTTTTATCTGAACCCACCCACCCATTTCCCTTGGCAAGTATTTCGCCATCCCAGTCAATTTCAGGCAGTCCCCGACTTAACGACCACAAAGGGAGGGGGCCACATTCCTGTCGCTCAGCAAGACGTTTGTTGAGGGAGTTCTAGCCCCGGTTGCTAAGTGAAACATGGCAGCCGTTAAGTTAGTCCCAGGGCTGTTAAGGGAACTTGGCTTTTTCCCCCCTCTGAAGATCGCCAAAGGGGATCAGGTGACCTCCTCCCGGGACACTGCGGCCGTCGTAAGTATGAATCGGCCACTCAGTGTTTGCATTTTGGTGCTGGAAAGAGGGTTACGGGTGGGAAAACGGCCCTAAGTCCCTTTTTTTGGTGCCGTTGTAACTTTGATTGGGTCACTAAATGAACCGTCGTTAAGTGGAGAACTTACCAAGGCTTCCAAACAACCCTCCTCCTCCGTGAATCCACACAAGCCCTCGTCGGCTCTCAGCCCTTGAGGATTTGGACGCGTAGACCCTGACGGGCACCGTGTCGAAAAACGCCTCCTTGACGATCAGGTCAGAGGCCCCCGTTGGGAGTTTTCCGTTCATCAGGAACCTCAGAACATCCACTTCATGGCAGATGCCAAGTTTGTGCAGAATCACACCCTGCTCGGTGCAAAAGTTGAGAAAGAGACCAAATGCATGGAGAGAGTCAGACTTCTTCTTTGTGTGTGGGGGGGTCACTTTATTTTCCAAAGCACCAGAAAGGCAAAAGACAAGACACAATGGATGGAAACTCACCAAGGAGAGAAGCAACCTGGAATTAAGGAGAAACTTCCTAACAGGGAGGACAATTAACCAGTGGAACAGCTTGCCACCAGAAGGTGTGGGTGCTCCATCACTGGAGGTTTTTAAGGAGAGATTGGACAGTCACTTGTCTGAGATGGTATAGGGTCTCCTGCTTGAGCAGGGGGCTGGACTAGAAGACCTCCAAGGTCCCTTCCAGCTCCTATTCCTGTTCTTGTTCCTGTTCCTATTCTATTCTATTCATTCTAATTCTATTCTATGAATTCTAATTCTATTCTATTCTACTCTGAATTCTAATTCTAATTCTATTCTATTCTACTCTGAATTCTACTTCTAATTCTATTCTATTCTACTCTGAATTCTAATTCTAATTCTATTCTATTCTACTCTGAATTCTAATTCTGTTCTATTCTAATTCTATTCTATTCTACTCTGAATTCTAATTCTATTCTATTTAATTCTAATTCTATTCTATTCTATTCTCCATTCCATTCCATATTTTCTATTCTATTCTATTCTATTCTATTCTATTCTATTCTATTCTATTCTATTCTATTCTATTCCTATATTCTAGCACTTTGAAGGCACATCAAGCAGGGAGCAGAGCAAACATGGCTTAAAGTGTGGAGGGGAACATGGCAAGGAGACAACCGTATCAGAACGGGAAAGGAAGAAGTCGAACCCAAGCAATTAAAAAAAAAAACCAACAAAACCTGAACAATGGCTTTCCTACAACTTCTGCTGACCAAATTGCAATTCTCTGCAGGACTGGGCTGGCCAGGAAAAGCCACCGAAAGCAAAGGTAGAATCCAAGGACGGAGGCTTACCACTCTCAAAAAAATCCTCATGGACAAATAAATGAAGCAGAGTTTTCTCCCTTGGCTGATTCCGGGTGGGATGTGAACCCTGGTGAAATCTCGGTAGAGGACCCAGGCGAAGACTAAAAACGGGACCGAAGCGCAGAAGGAAAATGTCAGCACCCACATCGCTGGGACTAACGTCATTCCCGTGCTGAAAAGATCCTGAGATGGGATTCTTTTTTTTTTCTTTCTTTCTTTCTTTTTAATTATCTGACAATCTGGTCAAAGGAAATTGCAGCTGCAGCTCCCTGGTTCGGTTCTGTTTGTTTTTTTTCTCTCGGTCTGCGAGATCTGTGTATTGCCACGGCTTAGTTCTTTTAACAACAGGACACAGGTGTGCCTTCTTTTGTATCCTTTCCCTCCTGCATTTGACGCGATTGTGCAACTCACGTTCAAAAACTGGAACAAACGGGCTTCTTTCCAAATCCTTCCCTGATTGATGATTATGTCAACCGACATTTGCGTTCCTTGCAGATCTCCCATCAGATTAGATGGGGAATATACTGATTTATTTCCCTTACTTATGGACTCCAAGAACCATATAATGTTTCCAGGTGAGCTACTGGGAACAGCTTTCCTTAAAATAGGAAACAGGGATTTTGAGATGAAAACGGGGTCCACGAGGGTTCGTGCCAGGCGGAATTGGCCCTTTGAATTGTAATTTGGGGCAGAGGATCAGAGTAAGATGAAAGGCAGGGCCCTGAATGCAACTCTTTGCCACATCTTGATAATGAGATATTTCTACGGTTTCATCACATACTTTGGAAGAGGAAGCTGAGTGTAATACATATACGCAAATAATAGAATAGAATAGAATATAGAAGAAGAAGAAGAAGAGAAGAGAATGTAGAACAAGAAGGAGAAGAGAAAACAGAAAGGATAAAAGAGAAGAGAGAATGGAAAATTTATCCCACTAGACTAGAGTCACTAGACTAGACAACCAAGAAATCAATCTGGCAATTTCCTATACAGGAAAGCCCTCTGGTGGATGCAGGAAGTATTGCACCCTGCCAGAGGAAATCAAGATTCCGCAAGATAGGAAATTTTGGGAAGAGTATTAAGAAGCCTAAGGCGGGAACACAAGCTGCTTCCAGGTTTTGGTGATGTGCTTGTTGTGGCTTGGCGTAGAAGAATAGAATGGAATGGAATGGAATGGAATTAGAAATGCAGAATAAAATACAGAATAGAACAGAATTAGAATAAAATAGAAATGCAGAATAAAATACAGAATAGAACAGAATTAGAATAGGAATGCAGAATAAAATACAGAATAGAACAGAATTAGAATAGAAATGCAGAATAAAATACAGAATAGAACAGAATTAGAATAGAAATGCAGAATAAAATACAGAATAGAACAGAATTAGAATAGGAATGCAGAATAAAATACAGAATAGAACAGAATTAGAATAGAAATGCAGAATAAAATACAGAATAGAACAGAGTTAGAATAAAATAGAAATGCAGAATAAAATACAGAATAGAACAGAATTAGAATAGGAATGCAGAATAAAATACAGAATAGAACAGAATTAGAATAGAAATGCAGAATAAAATACAGAATAGAACAGAGTTAGAATAAAATAGAAATGCAGAATAAAATACAGAATAGAACAGAATTAGAATAGAAATGCAGAATAAAATACAGAATAGAACAGAATTAGAATAGGAATGCAGAATAAAATACAGAATAGAACAGAATTAGAATAGGAATGCAGAATAAAATACAGAATAGAACAGAATTAGAATAGAAATGCAGAATAAAATACAGAATAGAACAGAATTAGAATAGGAATGCAGAATAAAATACAGAATAGAACAGAATTAGAATAGGAATGCAGAATAAAATACAGAATAGAACAGAATTAGAATAAAACAGGAATGCAGAATGCCCGGTCAGGGGATCAAAATTCAGATGCTCGTCAAGGGGCTCATATTTATGACGGTTGCAGCCTCCCCGGGGCTCACGTGATCCCTTTTCGTGACCAGCAAAGTCCACGAGGGAAAGCCAGTTTCATTTAACGTCCATGTTGCTTAACTTATCAACGGCAGAGCGATTTGCTGAACGACCGGGGCAAGAGACGGGGCAACGCTCACTTAACAAACCGCCTTCCATTAATCCCACGGTGGTTTAAGAAGTGAATGAATCCCTTTGGACTTTGCTGGTTGCAAGGGGGGGTGTTGCACGACACGGGACCCTGCAACCGTCATAAAGATTGGGCTCAACTCTTGTGGTCGTAAATGGAGGAGTCGCTTACTCCTACTCTTTACTCTTGGGACTGCCTTTGGCTTCCTTGCCTACTCCTAGCAGCAGCGCTTGGAATTTCGGTTTAACCTGCTCCGCTTTTTCCGAAGTTGATCGGGACCCTAAAACTTCCGGGACCCTAATAACTTCTCCTTCGGGACCCCCTTGGCGGGGAATTCCACCAACTAGTCAAGATGGACAGTATTTCCTATTTATTTGTTATGTATACGTACGTAGGCGGTGTGGGTCTACAACCAGGGGTAGTCAACCTTGGCTCTTTTAGGACTCGTGGACTTCAACTCCCAGAATTCCTGAGCCAGCTTTAGCTGGCTCAGGAATTCTGGGAGTTGAAGTCCACGAGTCCTCAAAGAGCCAAGGTTGCCTACCCCTGGCTCTACACATATGTTGTACGTGGTAACCTTTAGGTGTGTGTCCCCTACCTGTTTCCCTTTGAGAGCGGGCGACTAAATTTCATTGTGGATGCGTGCCCACAGTAAAAAATAAAATAAAATAAAGGTTATCTTATCTTATTCCACACACCCCTCCTCCTGCCCCCCTCCCCCCCCCGGCCGACGACCGACCCGCCCTCCAGGGAGGGGCTTGCACGGCCCGCCCCGGACCCACGGGTGCAAAAGTTCCCGTAGCTGCGACTTCTCCTCCTCCTCCTCCTCCTCCTCCGCCTGGGTGTGCGCAAAGAGGGGCCGCCGCCGAGATGTGAGTCCCTCCGTGGGTCTGGGGGCTGCTTTCAGGACGGGGGGGGGGGGGTTTCCCGGCTTTTGCAGCCCGCCGGCAGGAGCCAGGAAGTTGCGCGAAGTTGGAACGTTGCATTTGCAACCGGGCGCCCGCCGCATTTGCACGGGCGCCCGCCCTTCTCGGGGGTCCCAGGGGGTCCCGGGGGAGAAGGGAAGCCGAGCCAGCCGGGGTGGGGAGGCCAAAGGTAGGGCCGGGCCCGGAGGAGAGGCCGAGTCTGCTGGGCTGGGCGGGGAGGAAACTGGCCCGGACGGAAAGCAGACTTTGGGGCCGGCCTTTCCTTTGCTCTGCCTCGGCTTCACTTCGGAGTGACTCCGGATCTCTTGCAACTTGGCGGCGCTTTTTTTTCTCTCTCTCTCTCCCCCCCCCCCACCACGAAAGGGCTGGGTTTGCAACGGGTTGCAAACAAGAAAAAAAAGTAAAAAAAAAGCCCCTGGGCGATGCCCATTTCCGGGACAGGCGGAGCTCCGACCGACGCCGACTTTGTTTCGGTTCCCTTAGGGGCGCAGCTGAGTCCTGAGACGCTTTGGGGAGGGGTGGGTGTGGGTGTGTGTACGTGGGGAGGTGCGGACTGTGAGCGCGTGCTGGGTGTAGCCTCCGGGTTGTTGTTTTTTTTTCTTTCCTGGTTGGTTTAGAGACTCTAGGGAGGTTTTACCTGGCAAACCAGGATAGCTGGTTTGGGGTTCGGTTGGGAATGGAGCTGGAAAAGGGACCTTTGAGGTCTTGTAGACCAACCCCCTGTTTAAGCAGGAGACCCTAGACCATTTCAATCAATCCGAATAGAGCTAAAAGGGACCTTGGAGGTCTTCTAGTCCAACCCCCTGCTCAAGCAGGAAACCCTAGACCATTTCAATCAATCCGAATAAGAGCTAAAAGGGATCTTAGAGGTCTTCTAGTCCAACCCCCTGCTCAAGCAGGAGACCCTAGACCATTTCAATCAATCCAAATAAGAGCTGGAAGGGACCTTTGAGGTCTTCTAGTCCAACCCCCTGCTCAAGCAGGAGACCCTAGACCATTTCAGTCAATCCGAATAGAGCTAAAAGGGACTTTTGAGGTCTTCTAGTCCAACCCCCTGCTCAAGCAGGAGACCTTATACAGGTAGTCCTTGACTTACAACTGTTTGTTTAAATGACCGTTCAAAATTACAACAGCACGGGGAAAAAAGTGACTTAGGACCATATTAACAACCAGCTTAGTGTCATCTGCAGATGTGATGAGTTTCCCTCCTATTCCCTCCTCTTAAGTTCTTGATGAAGATACTGAAGAGTTGACCGGGCCCAAAACGGACCCTTGTGCTGCTCTTGACCACCGTTGAGCTGGATAGTGACCGAAACCTCATTTTATTGCTGACGTAGAAGCGGGAAGCAATCGTAGAATTTTAGTCTGCCATGTAGGTTGATCCTGGGACCTGAATGGATATCAGTAACCCAGATTAACTCCCCAGGATTTGTGAATGGCGGTCTGGCAATAACCTGGCTTGTCTTTTGGTGCAGGTCTGGGGATCCCGCAGCAGGCGCTGCCTCGGGCAGCAACCGACGTCTTCAGCAGACGCAGAACCAAGTTGATGAAGTATGTGTGGCCAGGCTGTTCAGAACCAGGAGGGTGGGTGGGCTCAGTGGGTGAAGCTGCAGTGCCTTGCTGTGACAGTCAGTTGAGGACCTTCTTGAAGGCCCATCAGTTGAAGACCTTGTTGAAGGACTCAACCAGTTAAGGACCTTGTTGAAGGGCCCATCGGTTGAAGGACTCAACCAGTTGAGGACCTTCTTGAAGGACCCATCGGTTGAAGGACTCAACCAGTTGAGGACCTTCTTGAAGGGCCCATTGGTTGAAGGACTCAACCAGTTGAGGACCTTCTTGAAGGGCCCATCGGTTGAAGGACTCAACCAGTTGAGGACCTTCTTGAAGGACCCATCGGTTGAAGGACTCAACCAGTTGAGGACCTTCTTGAAGGGCTCATCGGTTGAAGGACTCAACCAGTTGAGGACCTTCTTGAAGGACCCATCAGTTGAAGACCTTGTTGAAGGACTCAACCAGTTGAGGACCTTCCTGAAGAGCCCATCAGTTGAAGGACTCAACCAGTTCAGGACCTTCTTGAAGGGCCCATCAGTTGATAGTAAGTCCTCACTGTCATGAAGTTTCTCTGTACTTCCAGGTTACTTCTCTCCTTGATTTGTTTCCATCCATCCTTTCTTTCCATTGTTTCTTTCCTTTAGGGCAAAGTATGGCTAGTTTTTTTTTTTAAAAAAAGCCAACACCATGCTCCTCTTTGAGTGGCGGAGGGGGAGGTTGGGTTCGTCTGGAAGACCTCCAGAGTCCCTCCCAGCCCTGTGATTCTGTGTTCCAAACCTTTCGTTCTAGGTGGTGGATATCATGAGGGTCAACGTGGACAAGGTTTTGGAGAGGGATCAGAAGCTGTCTGAGCTGGACGATCGTGCTGACGCCTTGCAAGCGGGAGCCGCTCAGTTTGAGACGAACGCGGCCAAACTCAAAAGAAAATACTGGTGGAAGAACTGCAAGGTAAGAACACTTCTGAGCTTGGAGGACCAGGTTGGTTAGAGAGAAGAGAAGAGAAATGCAGAATAGAGAATAGAATAGAATAGAATAGAATAGAATAGAATAGAATAGAAGAATACAGAACAGAGAATAGAATAGAGAACAGAATAGAATAGGAATAGAATAATAGAATAGAATAGAATAGAATAATAATAGAATAGAATAGAATAGAGAATAGAATAGGGTTTTCTGGCTGAGCAGGGGTTGGACTAGAAGACCTCCCAGGTCCCTTCCAACTCTGTTATTCTATTATTCTATTCTACACAGGTATAGTTTTCTTATTTGAAGAAAGGCTGTTTTGCTTCAGCATATTTTTTTTTCTCTGCTAATTATTAACAGTTACACAGCTAGGTTGATTTTGAACATGATATTTAAAGAGCCGTGAGATGTTTTAAGTCCATACAAAATCAACCACTCTGCGAAAAAAAAAAAAAAAATTCATTTATTCTTACAATGCTTATAAATCTCTTTTCTATTGTTCTTCCCCCTCCCCCTTTTAAAATGATCGGTCACGATTAAAAAAAATCTCCCACAATAAATCCTGGTTTTTTATTTGTTTTTTTGTTTTTTACAGATGTGGGCCATACTGGTCACAGTGGTGGTGGTGATCCTCATAATTATCATTGGTAAGTTATCTTAAATAGGCATGAAGCCCCCTTGCCGGAAGTACAGCTAGTCCTCGTTTAGCGACTTCCTTGTTTAGCAACAGTTTGCCGTTACAAGAGTGATGAAAAGTCCTCGCCTTTGCGGCCTTCACCGTTCTGTATCGCAAAGGATAGCTGAGCTAAGATCCTAAACGGCTTCCCTTAAATTGCTTTGTCCCAATTTCGTCACTAAACGAGGACTGCCTGTATTTCTTGGAACCGGGATCGGTTTGCCCTAGGCACTGCCTCCAGCCAGTTTCCAGTCGCTGAAAAATAATTTGCAGCTATCTCCTGTGTTTATTATTATTTATTATGAGTGCCATCCTTACTTTGGGTTGTTATTGTTATAATTGTTATTGTTATTATTTAACTTTAATCAAAAAAATGAATAATTTTTAAAAGCGATCTTGTGCTGTTGTTTTTGCTAATCTGCTTTTTTTTTTTTTTTTTTTTAA